TAACCTTTGATCCTAGAGATCATAATCCCGCGGACTCTGTCCATAATCCTTCTTTGGGCTTTGACCCAAGGGTGACGTTGCTAATAGCTTCGCCAAGCCCCACACACTCCGCAGATTCCACAGTGTGCATTCCTTTCACTTCATTCTATTGGCATGATCCTAACAATACTGGTCCATAGGCACTCCTGCCTCTGTTTTTCCTATGGTGCCATGTGGCTATCCATTCAGTACTTGTTTAATTGCTTAGTATCTTAGTGGATGTAACCACCGATCATTGATTGATTGAGGTACTGAGATTGTATTTGTTCATAATCACTTGCACAATCTAGACTGGTACCTCGGATCCTGACTAGGCTATTCTTTCATTCAGGGTTCAGGGTTTCTCATTCATTTCTTTTTAGACTAAGTCCATGGAGGAATTTGGTTCCATCGTGACTCAGTAGATATTCAAGGTGGGCTTCAGATTTGTTGAGTTTGACAGGCTAAATCTAGTTCAGTTTTTCTAACTTCTGGGTTTTTGGGTTCACCTAGATACAGTGAGGTCCCATTTGTGTGGTGACTATGTGGAGTCTGTTTTAACGGAAAGTAGCAAGTAATCTTGAAAGGCTTGTAGAGTTGACTCATCTAGATGTCTTCTCTACTTCCTCTTCTGTTACAGTTTTAGGTGCTCCACCACTGATCTAGATGACTTGACTTAGCAGTGCAAAGTCTCCACTCTAGTCCTTAGTACAGCTAGTAGTTTGCAGTATTTTGTATAAAATTCGCAAAATCTATGGGTAGCCTGATACCAGGCATATCAATGCATGTCCCAAATAATGCCTCAGTATAGATAACTCAGAGAGAAACCAGTTTAGCCAAAGAGTGCAGTGCCCACGCTTATCACGGGTATCCCCCACCAACCAGAGAAACCTAGAAACTCAACATTAGAATAGGATACAGCCTATAGGATTGGTTGTCACTCCAAGTATCCTCTGAGGAAATGACGAGTGACATGCCAACACATAGAGTGCAGTGCAAGTGGAGTATCAACCATGAGGAAACAGAGTCTGGTCTTGAGATAGACCTCTGATCAAGTGTCCAGCCCTGGGCATGCTATAACAATGTGTGTGCATTGCAAGGGATAATGTTCCAAGGTTCTAACAGTACTGTATTAGGTTGTATCAATGTGTAGGATGTAGAAATGTATAAATACTGTAGTGTAGATGTAGAATACAAGTTTTAACCCCCCGGTGTAATAGTGCAAAGCTTTTCAGCCACATGCTCTAGCACTTAGAGTAGTTTGGAACTTCGAGAGAGAATACAACCCATACCTAATATCTATTGTGTGAATTGAGTCACGTACTTAGATAAGAAAATAGTGTGGCACTCTGTGCAGAGGTTCTGGTTTTGGTTTGACTTGCGCTCTGTGAGAGAATAAGAGTACAGTGTCTTGAAGGTCACCCTTTTGAGTTCTTGAGGGCATTTGTGTGATGCGAGACATTACAGGCAGCAGAGGTTCAAACCCTTTGGCTTGGTTAGTGCTCGCTCTTCTGTGTTATTTCCACAGGTTGGCAAAGGTTCAAACCCTTTGACTTGTCAGATGGGGTTTCTCTGGATTGCATAGGTTCAAACCCTGTGAATCTATGATCAGTTAGAGGCTCAAGCACATAGGTTCAAACCCTGTGGTACCGAATACAAGACTGACCTGCTCAACTTTTTGTGATCGGTGCCTTAGAACCCCTGGTACCCCTCTATGACTTTATATGTCAGTGTCTGATTAGCTAATATTTTCATTTGATTAACATGGTTATATATTAATATTTTCTCTTTTGAAATAAATTTACCAAACACTTTAAAACACATATTCATAAACTTAGGCATTGCAAAATATATATATTAAAGACTTAATTAGTCATATTTGCTGATGAACGGGTGAGTAGCAACCCTTATCATTCAACACTCATCATTGTGCAGACATGGCAGTGGCTGTGGGTTCTGCTGCTCACTTGTTGTCCTCTACTGCTTTTACAGCTTGTAGCCATCCCCAAAGAATCAACCAGCAGTCAAGGCCAGTGTGACACTTTCCGATTCCCAATCTGAGAGCATTCCCACTAACATCTGTTAGGTGGGAGGTCATTAACAGCAAGGTCATACTTACTAATTCCTACCATCAGACACAAGAGTTTCCTCAATGAACCATCCTGGTCTTGACATCAACATCTTTGATGAATGGTAATGACATCCATATATATCAATTTAAGGGAGTGTAAATTCAATATCTCATGTGCCAGTTGTAGTTGGCCTTTCAGGCCAAGATTAGTCGAATGATGTCGACTACTCTTTGGGCCTGCAAGGCTACCTACAACTTTTGTATGGGGTAAATCTATACTCCCCAAAGGAGCTATTTAGAGGTCATGGATTATATGAACTAGTGCAATTGTGGAAGGTTTGAATTCCCTTGGAATTATTTATGACATGAAACACCAACTAATACTACCTCCAGATCACCGAGCAGGACCAACATGATATCATCATCCTGGGGGAAGCCCTGTTATGCAAGAGCAGGAGCAATGATGAAAAAGTTGTCATCATGTGGAAGTGTGTTATACAAAAAGTATTTATAGTATGTATATTAAGGTGATCAAGATGGGGAAGGGTGCAATGTGGGAAAAGGGAGTTTGGGGGGAAATGTAAATATAGTGGACTGAGATTTCATGAAGAAATTTTGGACATCAAGCATAGAATGAATTGATACATTCCCCATGAACATGTTACTTAATTTTAGCATTTCTTTTGGGTCGAAATCATTGGGGGCCTGGGTTGTATTAATCTCAATGGTAATCACTGACAAAGCATCCTATCGAGCTCAATGGCTGTGCTGACAAAGCATTCAATCGAGCTCAATGGCAAAGTGCTGACAAATCATTCTATCGAGCTCGATAAGATTGCTCAGCAAAGATTTTCAAGGTTCTTGTTTCTAAGTTCACTGATAGGCGCACAACGGAACTGGGATTGGTTATATGATTGTCAAGGATATTTAACCACTAGGTACTGAACTATATGGGGTCTTGTATTGGTAATTTAAGATAAGGAATGGAATAACGGTAGTCCCATAGACAGTAGTAAAGGTATGATAGTAAGGAAACAAATGTAGAAGGATTAACAACAGATAAGGAAGGTGGTCTAGATAAGTGACACATATGGTTCTGTGCTCTAGAAAGTACAAGAGATAGACGATATGGAATGGACCATTACACGTTGTCAAAGTTCAGGCAGCTCTTCTTCCACACACTCATGCATTATCGGTATTTACCAGCTCCTCATGGAACAAGATGTGCGGTTAGTCATGCTAACCTTCGACACTATGAGGGTACCATATGCAAAGGGGTAAGCAACTTTTGACACAGCATCCTTATTTGCAGTCACAAGGATTTATTTTTATTGCTTGAATATCACGATTGTTGAAAAAAAAAATATTATCACATTTAGATCTATGTACATAAAAATACATAGTAAATTGGTTCCTTTTCAAATAAACTAGAATGAATTTTTACTTGCCTTATATGTAGCACAGAATGTCTCTGGGGTCATACTACTTTATATAGTAAAAACAAATGTGTGCAAATACTGGGTATTGATATAACCGGAGCAGGTCAGTCTTGTATTCGGTACTGTGGCTCTTGTGGAAGTTTCAGAGTTTCATGTCAGTGTAGACAATTCTCCATGTGTTTGTGAAGTTTTTGGTTTAGTGTGTGACATGCAAGGTTATTAGTGTGTTGAGTTTAGTAGGATTTGGTTTCTGCTTAGAGTGCAGTGCTTTAAGTCGTGTTTTGTGTTTTATTTGTTGTGTGCTGTGTTTATTAGAGTCGCGCGCAATTTCTAGAGAGCTGTGGATACATTTAACAAAGCTGTGTCTTGTTATACACCCTTGCCTTGAGGCCCAGCGGTGGAAGTCACACCCTCTTGTTCTTGAGAAAAGCCTTTGGACTTAGAGAAGTCTAGATATTATATGAGCACTATTGCTTCATGTGTATCTTAGAGATATTGAGAACTCAATTGTATTGGTTCACTACTTTCATCGCATTAGAATCCCCCCACAAACTTGAGCATGTTTGTGTGTGTAGTGTTGGGTGTGGGTGTGATCAGTGTCTTTGATGCTGTTGCATTTCTAGCTCTGTGCACTCAGACACCTCTTCAACAATTACTGGCAAACTGAACAACCAGCATCTCCCATTGACACCCAACTTGCAGATTCACTCTATGAAGTCGCCTAGGCCACAAAGAAGATCATCTTACTGTTAGTATCACATCCTCTTTCCTTGCATGTCAAATACACTGTCCTGAAAATAGAATTCTCCATTGTTCTATACATCAGGGCCTTGATTTTATAGGTTGCTATCAAGCAGACAAAATAGATCCATCTTGATTTACCTGCCCAGATGTCCTTCGACTTGAGCCACTGAGAACACAATATTGACTGGTCCTTTATTTTGATCCAAAGTGCAAGAGGCTTGGATGGTGGGAAGGAGGTCCAAGCAGCATAAAATGAGAGAGAACACAGCACTGTGATGGAATCCTTGGTATGAGATCCTTGCTGTCTGTTACTGTCGAGATCTGACACCTTCATCTAGGTTCAAATGTCAAATGGCCGCATTCAGGTGGTTACCAGGAGTGGCACTTCCTGTACACTGCTCCATTTCACTGGTCCCTTTCCCATTGTCACAGTATAACCTTGCCTAAGCTGTATCTGCTCATACAACTAGAGACGTGGTGAAGATGCCTGTGAGTGGATATGACTTGGATACATGACATCCAAGGGCTACGTGGTGGACAACATTGCTCTGGACATAGACAATGAGACATGATGCGAAAAGTTGTCTATTGGTAGCTAACAGTCATATTGGTATTGACATGGAGTGTAATCACAGTGCAAGGGTAAGTCCGAAACGGGGCCACCCCATTTGCTTACTCCTAGCCTGATCGCCCTCCTCCAACCTGTACCGCTGAGCAATTCCTTTCATGGCACTATAGCCAAGTGGTTAAGGCGACAGATTAGAATGACCTGCAATGTTTGCTATCTGTTACTCTTTGAGTGCGCAGGTTCAAATCCTGCTGGTGTCGTTATACTGTCTGACAGAATCCGTTAGTATAACTATCTTTGGTTTTGGCACACAAAATTCAAATTCGTAAAATATACATCAATAACATCATCATGACTGACTACTCGACTCTCGAGTGACCCTGAACTTTTGGTGTGTTTAAAGTACTTGATGTTTACTGTTCATCGCCTTTATTGAAGTTATTGAAGATCTCAGGCTTTAGGTGAGTAGATTACGGTTTGGTCATTCATTCAGTCCCGTGAATTCAAAGTTATCTGCAAATATATCCGAGAAAGCAGAAACTTAAGTACGGGTCATGAAATGGTAGGATAAGGGGATCGCTCCAGGAGCAAGTGTAATTTGAATCTGATTTATTACAGAACCAATGTATCCATTATGCCTGCTAACGAAACTGGTAAACGATGTGTCGGGAATGTTTCTGCGCATCTAAGACGCTAGTCCCACCAGCCACAGATTCCCATTTCGATCATTCCCACATATGGCCCGCTATGATCATTCCCCTTCACGTCACCCGCCTTTCCTGTCAGCTTAGCATGTATGCACCAAGTTTGGACGCTCGAGGTGAATCAAATATGTTTCACTGTCGAGATTTCACACTGCGTTTATTTGAGTTCTGGCTTCCAAGAAGAACTATGCAGGTAATGGCACGAGGATTAATCCGCATAAGACATCTTCATGGAGGTCCGCATAGCGCCTAGCTCGGAAAGAAGCACTGGCAAGACGCATCTCGAAAAGGAGACGGTCTAACCACATTATCCCACTGCTCCGCGCCTCCTCAAATCTCTCCTCCACCCACCCTACATACTCTACCAGCCTTTCAACCACACCCTGGTATTGCACACGATCCTCAGTTCCTCATCATGGGCACGCACAGCCGACGAGGAATCAACGCCACTGGAACCTGGGCCGGGAATCTCCATGAGCGCGTCCCATATCTTCCGCCGCCCGTCAGCGCAACAGCGCCGAGCGTAGAACATACGGAGAGAGGTCGCTCGTAACCTCTTAGGGGAGACAATAACGATGTATCTGAAGGATCCAGATGAAGAGCAGCGGCTGTCCATTTTACGAGCAGTCGATGGATTTTGGGAACGTCTTGATGGCTGGAGCGAGCGAAAGATGAATTGGTACCAATGCTGAGAGAGACATTCTTACGCGACCCGTGCAGCGGCGGTAATGTACGAAGCTATGTCAGACCCTTGTGACTGGTAGTCGATGAAGCAGACGAAGGGTTTCCGGTTGGAAAGTCGGGTGAGTGATGAGAAGAAACCGGAGCAAAGTCTTCGAACTATGCTCTAGTTAGCGTCGCTTGAGGCGCGCCTGCTCCGACCCTACCATGAACTACACCGTGATGAAAAGATGAGCATGAACGAGACTCGTAGGGAAAAGAATCAGACACGCACAAGAACCACAGTATATCTCTTTTCCTGGTCACTACTACTGGTCGACTACAGAGCCAGCCGATGTTTTTGCACGCGAATCATGCAACGGAGGAGGTAGTGCAAGTCGGAGATGCGCCGGAAATAGCCGGTCGAGTCGAAAGGCTCGTTGATGAGCGAACTCGTTGTGAAAGTCTTCATGGCATTGTTCGTCGTTGTATATCGCGCGAGAGGTTGATAGGGTCGAGACGTGAAAATTTGAATTCAGAAACAAGAAAGACTTTGCCGTGGTCTTCAGAGTACCATTCGCCTAGAGTTTCGAAAAAACAGGATGAGGATATGTTGGTATGAAAAAATGATACGAAGACTAACCAGGATCGATGTGGATCCACGTCTTTTTTAAATGTTTAATGACAAAGACGCGTTCGACTGCCTCTCTGAAATTGCGCGAGACTTGACGGCAGTTTGTCCACAAAAAAGTCAGATCTCTCACCCCGTATTTGAGGATGATTTCGTAGAAGATGTCAGGAGGAATTTCCTGAGGTTTTCCAGTGGACGAGTAGGAGGTCCTGGAAGTAAACAAAGAGTAAAGGCTTAGAAATTTGAGCGGATCTGCTCAATATAGCAGGTTAATTTGATAACGATAGGACGCGAACGCGCGTCTCCGCTCTGCGCCGATTGTTCCGAGTCTAAGGCTATGGGAAAAAGATCCTCAGTGGGCCGTGGTACTTTTAAAGCGTCGTTTTTCCTGTCTATAAGCATGGCCCTATTGAAACCGCATCGTAAAGCCGTTAGTAACACCAACAAGAAATTTTATCGGCATTAATGATCAATCCATACGAACGTAGGCGTGAACCTTTCAAGGAAGAGGGAAGAACCTTGAGTGTCGTTGGACCAACGTTGTTGACGACACAAGCCTCTTTCAAACCATGACCCCAGAATTCGCTGACACCTTTCGTCCGAGGTCTTGTCTCCGCACTCTATCGGTATAAGTAGCTCAGAAGTGAAGTTAAAGAAAGGACAAAAGGCCTACAGTCAACACCGAGTCGCGCTCATTTTGTTATCAATTTGTTATATCTGGGATGCAAAACCGACGATGGAGATGTATCCAGAGTTTGTCGATTGAGCGTTATCAAACGCTCCAAATAGACTTCTGAGAACAGGTAGCTGATTGCTGGGATGGAGATAGACGAGGATAGATGTCGTAGTTCTGTGGGACCCCGCGTCTGATGTGACATCCCTAGCTAGATATAAACAGAAGAATATCTCCAAGTGGCAGAAGTACAGTTTCATTCAGGACCACCAAAGGCATGCGTGTTTCACAATCTCTCCTGAGTCCTACAGATCGATCGAAAGATTGCCCAAAAAACCCCGGTTCGCAGGAACATTTGTTCTTGCTTGGGGTTACTATCTTTTGGTCTCCGAAAATCAGAAGTTGTCAGATACAATGATGGCCAAGACGCTTTCAGAAGGAAACGTACGCAATGTTCGTGCTAATGTTGCCTCTCCTTGGCGGAAAACGGAGCTTGAGCTCCGAGTCGGCGCTGGGAAGTGGAGGGCGCGGCCACTGTATTTTAATACCTACAAATCTATTCAACTGTCCTCGATCCAGCAAGAATGCTGCACGCTCTTGAATATACGTACAAAGACATACAACAAGTGTCATGCGAAGAGACAGAAAGCACGCATCTCTGACAGAAAATTGTTAGCGAGAGGAGCTCCGCGGGATCGCATGCTTCCGGCCCGGTAGCGACTGTGAGGTGTGTATGAAGACAGTTTCTAGCCCCGGTAGTACGCATGATGAGGATATCTCGCCCACGCAGATACTTTGGTTTGGGACCTGGAGATTGACGAAGAGGAAACGCAAGGCGGTATGAGAAGACATATTGAACATTGCCTCTATTGGTCATCAAGATGGCGGGCTCAATGAAATGTAAGACGCACCAAGGTCAGATGGAAGCATACGCCCATGCATGGAGAAACCACTGGGGTGGGTACCTAATATTCGGGGATATTCGTTGGAGCCGTCTGCGACACTAGTTTTGGCTAGCTTGCCAAGGAACGAACACAAGGTGAGGGGTTGTACAAGGATGCGAGAGAATCCGCAGAACGATATTGTTGGATCTGATAATCATTGGGTCAAGGTCATGCTGAAGGGAGGGGGCCTTCCGTCGGGCTTCCTTGTACGGCAGCTGTACGGGACAGAAAGAGGAACTTTACTGAAGGGGATGAGCACACAATCTCGCGCAGTGCCGCGAAGTAAAATGTGCCCCAGAGCCGAAGCTCTCCCAAATGAAGTTTAGACAAGATGGCAGCTGTGTTCGATAGGCGGAGCAGGGACCCAGACGTGCGCTTCTGCCGTTCATTTGGACAAAATGCCTTCGTCCTAGGGACGTCAATGACGCAAGAAGGAGCAGAAAAAATCATGTTCCGCAACAAGGGACTCGACGTGCGATATAGTCACTAGACATCTTGTGAGTAGTTCTATTGTATTGACTCCGCCAGCGGAAGAGACGGATAAACGTCTGTGGAGCCAGATTAGACTGCAGATGCGCAGTGTTGTCAGAATCCGAGTCGAACAGGTGCCCGAGGATACAGTCGATGTTATTTTATGGCAGCAACTGAGATCTTCGACTGATGCGGTATTGACTAGTAAATTTTTTCAAGGTTTTTTTTCTTTTCAAAAAAATTGGGCCCCAGATTCGATCCGCATTTTACGTCCTCTTCAATTGTAGCAGGGTGGCAGAGAAGACTCGATTATTAGCGGCGGTAGTTGCGCGGCAGCTTATATGTAGAACAATGTAGGAGAAGAACAAGCGTCGGGTCCGCCGGGAAATGCCGACTTCCCTCTTTCCTGGACCAACACAAACACCATATAATCTCTCAGGGACTGTCTAGGTGATGAAATTATTTTTTCTTGTATCATCAGAAATTATACCGTGCATTTATCGTTCTCCCTTACAGATTGAAATGCCCAACTGGAATTTTGATTATCGGTGACTTTTTTAGTGAACCGCCGCTTCGGATAGAGCATTGCGTCTATCGTAGAATGTTGCTTCATAGCGAAGAGTTGACTTTCGTTCCGATGCCAATATCTAGCGAGTCTTCTGCAGAAGGTCAGGAAGCTGACCGAATGAACGGCCCGGGCTGCACATCCTGATGACTGGTACTGTGGGGAACTGTGAGCTCTCCTTGGTAACGGAAACACACACCGAGAATCGCTATGCATTACAATGTAGATGTCATGATATTGCCATCCTAGTATCACGGCTTGCCTTCCTCAACGCTCATTATAGTCAAAGAAATACAGCGATATACACCTTTTCCCCCTTCAGGCTAGAAACTGTTCAGGCAATTGTAATCTTTTTAGATATCGTCTCTGGAGCCTCCTTCGGAAATACCATCGTCAACAGACCGTTATCAACGGAGACTTTGATCTCTTATTCATGCGTACGAAGTCAGAAACTCTACACGTCTTTGAGAGCTGACACGATTCAAATATCTCAGATCCCTAAGGCAGCCTCGATGTCCTCGGGACTTGCCATACTTGAGCTCACGGACAGTGTAGCCATTCTCCCCCCTCTCGAGATTTACTCTCCCCCGAAATGGCCAGGCGGCCGGCGTG